CCTTTGGTAACCACGAATCTAAAGCCTACAATGGCGATAAGTACATACGTATCGATAATCACCCTAAATGTAAATGGACTGAATGCACCAATCAAGAGACACAGAGTAATAGAATGGATAAAAAAACAAGACCCATATAATTGCTGCTTACAAGAGACTCACCTCAAACCCAAAGACATGCACAGACTAAAAGTCAAGGGATGGAAAAAGATATTTCATGCAAACAATAGGGAGAAAAAAGCAGGTGTTGCAGTACTAGTATCAGACAAAATAGACTTCAAAACAAAGAAACTAACGAGATAAAGAAGAACATTACATAATGATAAAGGGCTCAGTCCAACAAGAGGATATAACCATTATAAGTATATGTGCACTCAACACAGGAGCACCAGCATATGTGAAACAAATACTAACAGAATTAAAGGAGGAAATAGAATGCAATGCATTCACTTTAGGAGACTTCAACACACCATTCACTCCAAAGGACAGATCCACCAGACAGAAAATAAGTAAGGACACAGACGCACTGAACAACACACTAGAACAGATGAACCTAATAGACATCTATAGAACTCGACACCCAAAAGCAACAGGATACACATTCTTCTCAAGTGCACATGGAACATTCTTCAGAATAGACCATATACTAGGCCACAAAAAGAGCCTCAGTAAATTCCAAAAGATTGAAATTCTACCAACTAACTTTTCAGACCAAAAAGGAATAAAATTAGAAATAAATTGTACAAAAAAAGCAAAAAGGCCCACAAACACATGCAGGCTTAACAACATGCTCCTAAATTATCAATGGATCAATGAACGAATTAAAATAGAGATCAAGCAATATATGGAAACAAATGACAACAACACAAAGCCCCAACTTCTGTGGGTGCAGCAAAAGCAGTCTTAAGAGGAAAGTATATAGCAATCCAGGCATTAAGAAGGAAGAACAAACCCAAATGAATAGTCAAATGTCACAATTATTGAAATTGGAAAAAGATGAACAAATGAGGCCTAAAGTCAGCAGGAAGGACATAATAAAGATGACAGAAGAAATAAATAAAATTGAGAAGAAGAAAACAACAGAAAAAAATCAATGAAACCAAGACCTGGTTCTTCAAGAAAATAAACAAAATAGATAAGCCTCTAGCCAGACTTATTAAGAGAAAAGGAGAACCAACACACATCAACAGAATCAAAAACAAGAAAGGAAACATCACAACGGACCCCACTGAAATACAAAGAATTATTAGACTACTATGAAAATCTATATGCTAACAAGCTGGAAAACCTAGGAGAAATGGACAACTTCCTAGAAAAATACAACCTTCCAAGATTGACCAAAGAAGAAACACAAAATCTAAACAACCAATTATCAGCAAAGAAATCAAAGTGGTAATCAAAAAACTACCCAAGAACAAAAACCCCCAGGCCAGATGGATTTACCTCAGAATTATATCAGACATACAGAGAAGGTACAATACCCATTCTCTTTAAGGTTTTCCAAAAAATAGAAGAGGAGGGAATACTCCAAACTCATTCTATGAAGCCAACATCACCCTAATACCAAAAAACCAGGCAAAGACCCCACCAAAAAAGAAATTACAGACCAATATCCGTGATGAACATAGATGCAAAAATACTCAACAAAATATTAGCAAACCGAATTCAAAAACACATCAAATACATCATCCATCATGATCAAGTGGGATTCATCCTAGGGATGCAAGGATGGTACAACATTCGAAAATCCATCAACATCATCCACCACATCAACAGAGAGGACATAAACCACATGATCATCTCCATAGATTCTGAAAAAGCATTCAACAAAATTCAACATCCATTCATGATAAAAACTCTCAACAAAATGGGTACAGAGGGCAAGTACCTCAACATAATAAAGGCCATATATGACTGACCCACATCCAACATCATACTGAACAGTGAGAAGCTGAAATCTTTTCCTCTGAGATTGGGAACAAGACAGGGATGCCCACTCTCCCCACTGTTATTCAACATAGTACTGCAGGTCCCAGCCACGGCATTAGACAAAACAAAGAAATACAAGGAATCCAGATTGGTAAAGAAGAAGTTAAACTCTCACCGTTTGCAGATGACATGATATTGTACATAAAAAACCCTAAACACTCCACTCCAAAACTACCAGAACTGATATCGGAATACACCAAAGTTACAGGATACAAAATTAACACACAGAAATCTGTGGCTTTCCTATACACTAACAATGAACCAATAGAAAGAGAAATCAGGAAAACAATCCATTCACAATTGCATCAAAAAGAATAAAATACCCAGGAATAAACCTAACCAAGAAGTGAAAGACCTATATCCTGAAAACAATAAGACACTCTTAAGAGAAATTAAAGAGGACACTAACAAATGGAAACTCATCCCATGCTCTTGGCTAGGAAGAATTAATATCGTCAAAATGGCCATCCTGTCCAAAGCAATATACAGATTTGATGCAATCCCTATCAAATGACCAGCAACATTCTTCAACGAACTGGAGCAAATAGTTCAAAAATTCATACAGAAACACCGAAGACCCCAAATAGCCAAAGCAATCCTGAGAAAGAAGAATAAAATGGGGGGATCTCACTCCCTAACTTCAAGCTCTACTACAAACCCACAGTAATCAAGACAATTTGGTACTGGCACAAGAACAGAGCCACAGACCAGTGGAACAGAATAGAGACTCCAGACATTAACCCAAACATATATGGTTAATTAATATATGATAATGGAGCGATGGACATACAATGGGGAAATGACAGTCTTTTCAACAGATGGTGCTGGCAAAACTGGACAGCTACATGTAAGAGAATGAAACTGGACCATTGTCTAACCCCATACACAAAAGTAAATTCGAAATGGATCAAAGACCTGAATGTAAGTCATGAATCCATAAAACTCCTAGAAAAAAACAGGGAAAAATCTCTTGGACATAAACATGAGCGAATTCTTCATGAATATATCTCCCCAGGCAAGGGAAACAAAAGCAAAAATGAACAAGTGGGACTATATCAAACAGAAAAGCTTCTGTACAGCAAAGGACACCATCAATGGAACAAAAAGGTATCCTACAGTATGGGAGAATATAATTCATAAATGACAGATCTGATAAAGGGCTGACATCCAAAATATATAAAGAGCTCATGTACCTCAATAAACAAAAAGCAAATAATCCAATTAAAAGATGGGCAGAGGAATTGAACAGACAGTTCTCCAAAGAAGAAATTCAGATGGCCAACAGACACATGAAAAGATGCTCCACATCGCTAGTTATCAGAGAAAAGCAAATTAAAACCACAACGAGATATCACCTAACCCCAGTAAGGATCGCCACCATCCAAAAGACAAACAACAACACATGTCGACGAGGTTGTGGAGAACGGGGAACACTCCTACACTGCTGGTGAGAATGCAAATTAGTTCAACCATTGTGGAAAGCAGTATGGAGGTTCCTCAAAAAGCTCAAAATACAAATACCAGTTGACGCAGGAATTCCACTTCTAGGAATTTATCCTAAGAATGCAGCAGCCCAATTTGGAAAAGACAGATGCACCCCTATGTTTATCGCAGCACTATTTACAATAGCCAAAAAATGGAAGCAACCTAAGTATCCATCAGTAGATGAATGGATAAAGAAGATATGGTACATATACACAATGGAATATTATTCAGCCATAAGAAGAAAACAAATCCTACCATTTGCAACAACATGGATGGAGCTAGAGGGTATTATGCTCAGTGAGATAAGCCAGGCGGAGAAAGACAAATACCAAATGATTTCACTCATATGTGGAGTATAAGAACAAAGAAAAACTGAAGGAACAAAACAGCAGCAGAATCACAGAATCCAAGAATGTACTCACAGTTACCAAAGGGAAAGGTACTGGGGAGGATTGGTGGCAAAGGAGGGATAAGGGTGGAGAAAAAGAAAGGGGGCCTTACGATTAGCATGTATAGTGTGGTGGTGGGGGCACAGGGAGGGATGTGCAACACAGAGAAGACAAGTATTGATTCTATGGCATCTTACTATGCCAATGGACAGTGACTGTAATGGGGTTTGTGGGGCAGACTTGGTGTAGGGGGGTCTAGTAAACATAATGTTCTTCATGTAAAAAAAAAACAAAGAGATATATACATCCCTATATTTATCACCGTACTGTTTGCTATAGCTAAGATATGGAAGCAACCTAAGTGTCCACCCATAGATGAATGGGTAAAGAAGATGTGGTACATTTGCAGTGGAATACTATTTAGCCATAAAAGAAGAAATCCTGCCATTAGGGACAACTTGGATGTATCTAGAGGGTATTATCCTCAGTGAAATAAGCCATGAGGAAAAGACAAATATTATGTGATTTCACTTATTTGTGAAATATAAAAGCAAAGCAAAACACAGTGAGCAAAACAGCAGCAGACTCATAGACACTGAGAAGTGACTGGTGGTTACTGTGGGGGAGGGGTTGGGGTTGGTGGGTAGGAGGGTGAGGGGGATAACAGGGCACAAAAGTCTCAATTTTAATACAAGTTAGTCACAGGGATAGTAGTACAGCATGGAGAATATAGCCAATGATTCTGTAACATCCTTCTATGCTGACAGATAGTAGCTGCACTATAGGGGATGAGAGGATTTAATAATGGGTGTAACTGTTAAACCACTGTTGGATATACTTGAAACCAATATAATATTGTACATCAACTATACTCCAAAAATAAAAAAAAGGAAAAAGTCATACTAAAGAACGAGACTTATTATTGAAAAATACAGAATATACATAAAGCAAATTGGTGAACAGTGTGCATCATATAATCGCATTTTTATGAGAAAAAAATTTGTACTATAGCCTTATTGCACATCTAAACACATATATATATATACCACATTGTCCAACAATCACATATACCCATTAACATGGTATCTTTGATAAGAATCCTTTCTTCATCATTTTATTCATTTCTGTAGCATCTGCAATTTTTACAATAAATTTGTATTACTTTGGTACGAATAACTCTCTTTTAAAAGTATAATTATCTTTCACCCACAAATTACCTCTTCTGGTAGAGCAGGATGGGGTTTGTCAGAAGTTGCAAGTAGTAAAACTGGAGCAAATGAAGGAATATTCTGTAACAATGTGGTAAATGTTGCTTTGAGTGTTGGTCCAACTATTTCCCACCACAGGTGGATATGGGGAACATACAGTATGCTTGGTGCTGTTCTCTTAGCTTCACGAATCATCTAATAGAGAGAAAAAAAAACATTACATTCAATTAGAAAGTCAGCACATTAGTAACCTAGCTTTATTAGCTTGGAATTATCTTATAAAACCCCTGTATTTTTAAAATGCTTTCCCCAACCCCACAATGTTGTTTCTAAATGCTTTCTAAGTCTCATTTTTGGGAAAGTATAATTGCTTTAAGCAATTAGAAAACAGCTCAAGAAATTTAGAAGGACTTTCTGGTATGTAACCAAGGTTAAATATAAAAATATAAATATAAAACTTTCACATTCCATGTTTGTTTTAAAAAACAGCAAAACCAGAAGCAGCTGTGTATCTGAGTACTGTACTTACTATGTAACAGTTTTAAGTAGTTTACTCATTTAATTCTCACAACAATCATGAGGTATGTACTATTATGCAATGATGCATATATTGCAAATGGTGAAATGAGGCAGATATTTATCCTAAGGTCACACAGATAATTAAGTAGTAATAATGGGATTTCAAACTCATACTTTAATGACAAAGCAATTATGCACAGTTCTATTTCATAAATTTAGAAATCAGAAAGACAAAACAAAACATTACAGAAAGAATTAGGCAATTTTGTCTAGATTTTGCCTCTGCAAGACTGTTTGGTCTTAGTTTAGTCTGGGAAACAATGAATTACCTGGGCACATGTTTCTTCAGGAGATGTAGCACTGAATCCAAAAAGAACAGGAATGTCTAATGTATACACTGCAAATTTTTCCAAAGCATGGATGACAGCTGGTGCCAAATGAGAACCTTGCCCAAATCCTGGTTCTCCCACTATCAGTATTCTTGGTCGAAAAGACATAGGTTGATAACAAGCATTTCTGAAAGACGCAAGTAGTAAGGTACATTTTAGAAAAAAAATTAAATTTTAAATTTTTCTCTCGAATTAATGATTATAAATTTTCATAAATCAAAGTTTTGACTACATGGCCAGTTAATCCTAACAGTACGGTTCACATGGTTTTTGGAAACAGTAAACCTCCAGATTTTCAGGAATATTTTGTATAGTGTGATTTCTACTACAGTGGACAATTATAAAACAAAATTTTTGGTATTTTAACTTTAAAATAAAAAAGCATATTAGTTGGCATCTTTTGTCTTTTAAACCACCATCTCATTTAGTTTTAGGGAATTCACACAACAAAAAAAAAATCATTTGTAAGGGAAATGTACCTATTCAAATGAAGGAAATTAAAATTTTCTTTTGCCTTATTAAAGGATTTCTGAGAAAGCCCATTTTCATATACTGATGGAATATCATCATCACTGTATGCCAAGTCACTTTCTAGCAGGGGACATGAAATATCTACAAGAAAAAAAAAAACCAAAAAACATTAGTAACTTTTCTGCAGGCAAAGCAAATCTTTATGTAACACTTCAGTTACTAGAAAATCAATGTACCTCAATGAAAATTTTTTAAGAATGAAAAATATTTGTGTAGATATAAGTAAATTAGTATAAAAATGCATTCCAAACTTAAAATAGATTAAGTTTAGGGCAATCTGTGAAGTTTTTTTCCACTCAAATATCCAGGCAAAGCATGACCAAATTCCTTTCAAGGTACTCTTTTATAAAGAAACACTTCTAAAATGTATGAAGTATTTAATTTTCCATATTATGAAAACTACCTTTAATTGGTCAATCAAGCTTCATACCTGAGTCTAATGCTTTATTTGTTCTAATTTCTGCATGTGGAAATACTCTCTGCAGGGCTTCTAAGATCTTCTGAACAGTGCTTTGCAGGAGTGGTTTCACAACAGTGGACAGTGCCTGCCCAGGAGATGTCACAGCTCTTTGGGATGCTGGTATCATCTTTTGCATAGCTATCTCAAAATCCTTAGCTGAGATATTAATTGAAGAGAGATCCAACTGTAGTTTCTCACTAGTGGTATAGATTTGTGGGTAGCGTCGACGTAGAGCACATAAAACAGCCTCAGAGCATATTGACTTAATATCTGCACCACAGTATCCTAGCCAAGGCAACCAAAAAAATAAAAAAAGTAAACCACCACCTATTAGCATGGCCATGGTTAAAAGAATATTAAAAATCAGTCTAACAATATAGTAGCAGAACATTTAGGAGTAATAAGGCTAAGCTAAAGTCTCGCATTCAACCAGTGAACTTACATGATAGTAGTAACTATCAACAAATCAATCAACTTTCGTAAGTGAAATATGTAAGCATTAACTATAGCACAGGGATCAAGAGCAAGAGTTTTAAAATCAGACAAAAGAGTTTTAAAATCAGACAAAACAAATTCCAGTTTGTTATTAACTAGATGTGTAATCTCTGGAGAATTATTTATGTTCTTTCAGCCATTTCTAGACCTGTAAAATGGGAAAATGCTACCTACTTCACAGGGTTGATGTGAAAATTATCCAAATATATGTAGAATGCTTAACAGATGAGTAGGATAATGTAACAGTCAGCAAATGGTAACTTTATTACTTTTACTACCTTACTTTGCTATCAATTCCGACAGTTAATTTATCAAATATCTCTAATATCCAGACTTCGTGAAAAGAAAACATGCCATATATGAGATGAGAAACCAATATAACCCTGTATTTCTTTAAACATAACCGTGCAAGACTATAACTTGTTCCGTCTTTGAAATGCATGTATTATTTCTTTTAACACTTAAAGCAATGTTTACCAACAGAGTTTTCTGCTAGTTCTTCTAGAAATATGTCCAGTGGTTTAGGATTCCAATCCCTTGTGTGAATCTTTAGAATTTCTTTTCTAGCCTACAAATAAAAACAATTTCATTTTTTATATCTATAATAAAAGTATTATCCAGATTAGAATACTTGCCATTTAAAATACTTTTGATTATCTAAAATTTTAAAGAGATCAATATCTAATTATAAGCAGAAATATGAAACAGTAAAAATGAAAAGATGTATTTTAAGAGTTTAAGGAATTTGTTAAACAGATTTTCATTTATAGTGCTCAAATTCTATTCATCATAAATGTGAATGAGAGAATGAAGTACCTACTGACTATTGTTCACTCTGGTACATATTTAAGAACTGTTTTTGAGAGTACTGACAGCTCTACCTATATTTTCTTGCTTGGTTCTCAAAAAACATAAAGCCACTGGGTAGGAGTATATGGTGGTATCCATGAAAAACCCACGGCTAGCTATTTGGCTAAAGACTGATTATTCATTAGGCCACATTATTGGAAGCAAAGTTGTAAGATTAATATTGAAAGGCTGTACTCAAATTAAAAGAATTTTTAGAGTATTTTTAGGGAGGCATTATTTTATTTAAGAAAAAGACTAAAAAATTATGTCAGTTCTTTTTTTTTTAAATAAAATAATGCCTCCCTAAAAATGCATACATACATACATACATGTTTGGATGTTAATCATATGACTGCTTCAGAACATACAAAACATCAATCCTCAAATTTCCACTGAAACAAAACTTATTCATGATAAAGGCAAGTATTTTGTGATAATCTGAGTGTTGTTAAATTCTTACATCTTTATCAGGTAGGCTGAAAAGGAATTCTCTGTCAAAGCGACCAGGCCTTCGTAAAGCAGGATCAATAGAATCCAGTCTGTTGGTAGCACCAATGACCACGATTTCTCCTCTGCTGTCCAATCCATCCATAAGAGCTAGCAGGGTGGAAACAATAGAACTAAATTTAAAAATAAGAGAGAACAGATTAATCATATGGATGTTGTTATCATTTCTTCTTTTAGTAAAATTTAATACATTGAACATGTGAACAAATTACCTCAGAATCCCACTACTTTCAATGGATTTAAAAAAATCGGTAAAATAACAACTACATGGCATGAAGAGAATAAAACCAATGAAGAACAGAGATGGTCTTAACAATACCACAAGAGAATCCTGGGAGCCATTTCATTAAACATAATTTCACATAGGAACTTCAGAGTTCCCAACGAAGGATACAACATCAAAAAAATAGAAGTACCAGGTAAATGGTATCTGCAAGTTACACAATGTGTCATTGTTTATATCTTTTTCTTTTTATTAAGCTATCATTGATATACACTCTTGTGAAGTTTTCACAAAAAAAACCCAATGTGGTTATTACATTCACTATTATCGAGTCACTGCAGTCACCGTCCATCAGTGTAGTAAGATGCCACAGAGTCCCTATTTATCTTCTCTGAGCTACACTGTCTTCCCCATGACCCTCCACACACCATGTGCACCAATCATGATACCCCACAGTCCCCTTCTCCCTCCGTCCCCACCTGCCCTCCCCTTTAGTAACCATTAGTCCCTTCTTGGAGTCTGTGAGTCTGTTGCTATTTTGTTCCTTCAGTTCTGCTTCGTTGTTAATACTTCACAAATGAGGGAAATCATTTGGTATTTGTCTTTCTCTGCCTGACTTATTTCACTGAGCATAATACTCTCTAGCTCCGTCCCTGTTGCTGCAAATGGTAGGATTTGTTTCTTTCTTATGACTGAATAGTATTCCATTGTGTATATGTACCACCTCTTCTTTATCCATTCACCTACTGATGGACACTTAGGTTGCTTCCATATCTTAGCTATTGTAAATAGTACTGCAATAAATATAGGTGTGCATATGTCTTTTCGAATCTGAGAAGTTGTATTCTTGGGGTAAATTCCTAGGAGTGGAATTCCCGGGTCAAATGGTATTTCTATTTTGAGTTTTGAGTTTTTTGAGGAACCTCCATATTGTTTTCCACAATGGCTGAACTAGTTTACATTCCCACCAACAGTGTAGGAGGGTTCCCCTTTCTCGGCATCCTCACCAGCACTTGCTATCCCATTGTGTTTATCTTAACAAAGGACCCCAAAATAGAATATAAAGCATAAAAACATAGTTTTAATTATAGTTTAAAGTTTTTATTATGGAGAAGAATAATAAAATGATCTCTACATCTTTATCACCAGTTTTGTTAATGACCAGTACTCCTTTATGTCTTTATCCAACAGCTTTAAACAAAAACCCGAGATCATATAATCTGTAAACATTTCATGTTAATTATTTCATGTATGTATTTCTGACATAAGAACCTTAAAAAACTCCTACAATACTATTAAACCAATATACATGACAATAATTCCTTAGTATCACCTAATGTTCAATTTTCCCTTATTATCTCAAAATAACCATATATTTGATTTGTTCAAGCCAAGATCCATACTGTACTTGGTTAAATGTCCCTCAAATCCGTGACATTTCCCACTGCACCTGCTTTTTTTCTTTTTCCATGACATTATGTGTTGAAGAAACTGGATCATTTGTCTTGCAGAATTTGCTTCCCACATTTTTTTTATAGCTGATGTACAATATTATATTAGTTTAAACATAGTGATTTGACACTTATATACATTATCATTTTTAGTTACATACATTATTAAATGCTCATCCCAGCTACTTTAGTTACTATCTGTCAACATAGGAAGATGTTACAGAACAGTTACAAAATAGTTAAAGAATTGACTATATTCTCTATGCTGTACTTTCATCCCATGACTAATTTATACTATGAATGAAATTTGGTGTCTCTTTATCCTTCAACTATTTCACTACCCACTCCAGCGCTTCCCCCATGATAACCATCAGCCACTTCTCAGTGTCTGAGTCTACTGATGTTTTGCTTATTTTGCTTTGTTTTTATATTCCACAAATAAGTGAAATCATATGATATTTGTCTTTCTTCACCTGGCTTATTTCACTGAGCATAATACCCTATAGGTCCATACCCACAAATGGCAGGATTTTCTTTATGGCTGAATAATACTCCCTTGTGCGTATGTACCACATCCTCTTCATCCATTCATCTATTGATGGGTACTTAGGTTGCTTCCATATCTTGGCTATTGCAAATAGTGAAGCGATAAACATAGGGGTGCATATATCTTTTTGAATCAGAGATTTTTTTCCTTGGGTAAATTCCTAGAAGTGGAGTTACTGGGTCGTATGGTACTTCTATTTTTAGTTTTTTGAGGAGCTTCCATACTGCTTTCCATAGTGTATAGAAGGGTTCCTTCCCACATCTGGATCGGGCTGATTGCATCTGATTGGGTCATTTAACTTGTCCTCTCTCTATCTTTCATATTTCCTATAAACTGGAAGTTAAATCTAGAAGCTTAATAAGTGCAGGTTAAACTATTTGGGATAGCATTATTTTATAGAAGATACCATGTGCTTCTTATTGTATACTTCAGGAGGCACATAATACCAGTTTCTCACTTAAGATCACTTAAGACTGCTCTGGGAACAGTCCTGTGCACTGCAGGACGTTTAACAGCATCCCTTGTCTTCACACAAGATGCCAGTGTGTACCTCCCACCCCCAAGTTGTGAGAATCAAAAATGTCTCCATACGTTTGTCCCTTGGAGAGCAAAATCACTCTCAGTTGGTCTAGATCCATTATTTCGTAAGAGGTTGCAAAATGTTGAGTTTTTTAACTCAATAATTTATTTTACACTTAAGTGTGATCTCCCTATAAAGAACAATGTTACTTCATCAACTATTAAATTACTCTGAGTCATGGTTATAAGACAGGAAAAAGAAATGCTTGTTTCAGTCTATCAATTTTCAGAGTAGTAAGTCACTGTCTTAGCAACTTTTAGAGTGACCAATTGGGTTAAAAAAAATCATCAGTAAAAGTTGATTGACAGTTTTCATGTATTTGATGCACTTAAATTTACTGCAGTCATTTTTGATATGCAAATTGTCCCATCTTTAGCCACTGGAAACTCCTTCAGAATTGACTATGTCATTCTGATATGACCCCAGTAGTCTATGATTGCTTCATTTGCTTCCAGGTATTACAAGATATTTCATGCTTGTCTTAGTTCTTGCCTCAGTTCTCTTATCTGCCATCTCTCCTAAGAGTCCAGTATTTAGAGACCACAGACTGGCTGCTAGGGGGTACAAACTGTTACTGCATTGTGATTGCTTCTAGCCTTTTTAGTGTCCAGGGCTAGGAATTATATTTTCTTAAAAAAAAAGAAAAAAAATCAACATAAGTTCATACTTGTCTTTCGAATTCAAAATATTTTAGGGTTTTAATATATCTTCTATTTTTTAAAATTTAATTTGTGTATTTTTCCTAGGCTAAAAATCTTATTTTCTATTGCATTCATATAATTACTTACACATTGTCCTATAAAATTATTACTAACAATAAGATGAAGAATACAGTTCAATCATGTTCAATGTGTAACTTCTAAAAAATTTAGCAAAATGTTTACTCAGATTTTTAATGTTTTTGGTTATAAAAGAAATCACAAAACTTATATACTAAATTTCTAAAAAAATAAGTAAAAAAAATACGTATGAATGAGATGACATGGACGTGCTAAAATTATTCTGTAATTTTTGTTACTGAAATGCCTCAAAAGTTAGAACTATTAGAATAGTAAATATTCAATTACTTGATTGCAAAGTAATGGTAGCATTGTTAAACATGTTTCTCCCTATTTACACAATGAATACAGTACAGCTGATGATGAAGTGCGTCATAAAAAGTCTATATGAGTACTTGTTTGGTATGTACAGACACAACTATTTTAATCATAGCACTTCGCATTTTAATTTACTCAAACAAATGAAATTGTACAATGTCAAGTCAAAGAAGGCCACTGGACTACAGTAAATACTGTCAGGTTTAGAGAAGTCAAAGCCTACTTATCACTCACATTATCATGTCTTGTTCCTCTTTTTTATTATTGCAAAGAAAAAATAATACTGGCGTATATGGAGGCATGCAAACATTTGCTTTCGGGTATCCCAAATTAAGCAATTAAAGGTAATTCATGGGATGATACACAAAGAAGCTCTGAAAAACTGAAGATAAACTGAGATTAAAAGAAATTTAGATTCAAGGTGAGGCAGTCACTCACACTAAGGTAAAAGTGTTCCCTTGGGTAATCAGTTTATCGTAAGGAGATGCAATTTTCCTATCCTGAAAATGAGGAAGTTGGGCTAGCACTAGAATATTAAACCAACAGTCATGTGTACACGCTAAGACATATTTTGTTTGTCCCAGGTAGTATCATAAAAGCATCAGAATTTGTTTTCGACATTTAAAAGATATTTAACACAAAAATTTGAATATAAAATTTAAGAAAGAGTAGATTTATTTTTCAAGTTTGAGTTAGCTTCTGCACCTCAGTAATAAGGTAGAGCTAAAAAACAACTGGCTGTGCTTTTCTAATTGGAAATGTAGCCACATCCCCCACCATAACCCCCTTCAATTGGCTTGCCTCACTCTATTTACCTCACTGACCAGTGGGCATTTCATTTATATCATGAGTTAAATCGTAACCAACATTTTAATATCATGCTGGAGAACATCCTGCCATCCAGAACCACTGGTTTACTTTTTCTTCTGTTCTAGTACCAAAAAGAGGAAACTACTGATTTGTAAAGTGTCTTTCACCACTTAACATTCTCTCTCTCACGCAAATCAGTACAGTTCAAAATGTAGGAAGAAAGATGCCATCAATCAAGTTTTACCTGTGAATTTGGTCTTGCCTGCTTGATCGTACTGGAGCCAAACCATCGATTTCATCAAAGAAAATAATTGATGGGCGCATCTGATAAGCCTAGAAGGCAGGTCCAGTGGTTGCATGTTATCATGGAAAAGCTATAAATATGCAGTCTTAACTTAAACAATTTTAATCCACTTATACTCCAACTCGCTTATAAGAATTTACTTAAAACTTACAAGCTTAAATGTAGACTTAAGAGCTATGTTTTAAGGATTCAGACTAAATTAGAATAACACAATTTAATTTTATTTGCATTTTCCACTGGAAATATTCAAAATACATACTCCACAGGTTACATACCTTAGAGTTTATACAGCTAGTTATTGGGAAACAACAGATATCTATTAAAGATCAACTGTCAAAATAAGACGAAATATTAAAGATGGTGACATACCATTCCTCTCTGTCAGGATGGGAAGACAGTTAACAAGAAACCACAGTTTAAGAAAAAATCTATTTCAAAGAACCTCAGTAACTTCTATAAAGATAATTAAAAGCATTTACAATAATACGCCTCAGTAGATCAGAATGTATTAATCTTACAACATGCTATTAATATAATCTAGTATATGAAACTGAAAGCCACTCTAGGACGAAACTAATCTTCAACTTGCATATTGACACAACACACTACTGTTAGGAGACTACTACTCTCTAAGTATGAGACCTAAGACTCCATATACTAAACTCAATTATTAGTTCCTCTTCTTAGTATAAAATTGTCATCATAAATCAGTGTTATCTTGACATACAAAGGAAAATAATCTAGAAAGATTATATATGTGATCTACTTCTGAAAAGTGATTAAAATGCAAGACTTATTTAATCCTTACATACTTAATATCCACATTGATTATAGATCTATATAGGTAAACTTTAATATCATACCTGATCAAATAGCAATCGTAGCTGTCTTTCAGACTCTCCTACCCATTTACTCAGACAATCAGCACCTTTCCTCATGAAAAATGCTACTCTCTTATCCCCTTGACTGCACTCATTGGCAAGTGCTCTAGCAACCAGAGTTTTTCCAGTTCCAGGTGGACCATAAAACAAACAACCTCTATAAAATAATAAGTATTATTTTAGTACTAAATTTAAAAGTAGACTACTTAAATAAAATTAGAAACCAATTACATGCATGTAACTTCTTAGTAAATCAAATAACTGAAATATCATTTCCGTCCACAAAATACAAAACCTGGGAATTAATATTGGTACCACTAAATAAATATTGAAACTATATAAAACCCTTTTATGTGAAACATGTTTCCCTTTATTCATTCATCATGTTCATCATATTACCTACTTTGCAGGGAAGTCTCATGCTTAATGTGACTTGATAGTTTACTTTTGTAATGTACCAGAGGGAAGAACAACAAACTTCAGCTATAATTTTTGGTGTCAGTGTCAGGAACATAATATCAAGTTTTGTGAGAAAACAGTGGTGGGAGTGAATAGGAGAGAAAGTAAGAAAAAAAAAAAAAAGAGAGTGAGAACTTTAAGAAATAATGGTGGCTGGGTAGGAGGGACTAGAATAACATAAAATAATTTAAAATAATTTTTGATAACATTATGTAGCCAACAGCTTTTTCATGTATTTCCAGTTATTCATAGCTCTTAGGATAGAACTCTTGAGAAAATTGGCTATCCTCATAATTCTCATTTGAAATACCAAAGAATTTAGAAATAGAACATGTCAGGGATTAAGTTCTACCAAAGTAACATGAAATAATCAATTTCAGATCACCAAATAACTGTTCTTGAAAAGAAACTTAAGGAAGATCTCAGAAAGACAATTAACAAAATAAGAATAGTGGGGAAAAAAATCATAAGTGATGGATTAAATCTATTAAAACATAAGAATAAAGTATTAAAGAAAAATAGTCAAGAAATGGACATAATCAAATGCAGATGAGAAAAAAAGCAACTGTTAAGAAAACAATCAAATTAAATTACCAGTGATTTCAATGTACAAAAGCCAAGGGAGTTACAGATTTTTAAAATGTATCTATTTTTGCAAATGACATATCTGATAAGGGGCTAATATAAAAATATATAAAGGACTCATACAACTCAATATCAAAAAAACCTGATTAAAAAATGGGCTGAGGACTTGAATAAACATTTTCCCAAAGAAGACATACAGATGGCCAACAGGCACATGAAAGATACTCAAAATCACTAGTCATCAGGGAAACGTAAATCAAAAACCACAGTAAGATATTACCTCATGCCAGTCAGAATGGCTACTACCCAAAAGACAAGAAGTAACAAGTGTTGGTGAGGATGTGGAGAAAAGGGAACCCTTGTACAGGGTTAGTGGAAATGTAAAATGGTGCAGCCACTGTGGAAAGCAGTATAGCGGATTCTCAAGAAACTAAAAATAGAAATACTAAAGGACACAGTAAAACTCTACTGGGAATTTACCTGGAGAAAACAAAATTACTTATCTGAAAAGATAAATACATCCCTATGACAACAGCTAAAATATAGAATGAATCTAAGTGTCCATTGATACATGAATGGATAAAGATATGGTACAAATATACAATGGAATACTGCCCAGCAATAAAAAGAATGAAATCTTGCCATTGGCAACAACATGGATGGACTTAGAGACTATAATGCTAAGTCAAACAGAGAAAGACTAACATGTGATTTCACTTATAGACTCTACAAAATAAAAATGAACAAACAAAACACAAATAAATTCCTAAACAGAGAGAACAGACTAGTGGTTGCCATTAAGGGAGTATGGGGGAATGGATGAAAAGAGGGAAGACGGATAAATTAGTGAGGATGTTTGCTACCTCGAGTTGCATGATGGTTACAAGAGTGTATACATATGCCAAAATTCATCAAGCTGTACACTAAGATTTATATATTTTATTGTATGTGCCTTAACCAAAAAAAAAAAAGGATCTTTTGACCCAAGACACTTATTTGTGAGACTGCATCTGAAAGAAGGAACTAAGGATTCACAGAAAGAGGATGCAATGAGATTTCATAATACTGACAGCTATGATAATGAAGTTAGGAGAAAACTGGTCAGCAACAGCAGAATCAAATAAAATGTTACACACTTACACAATGGACTATTATTCAGTCCTTAAAATGGAAAAAGAACATACCATATGAAAACTCAGCAGGTTAACACAACCATATATTTGATTTTTTTATGAGGGCAAATGCATGCTATAATGAAGGAAAAATGAGGAAAAAAATGAGTTTATTGTTTCTTTTTAAATTCAGTAAATTATCTTAACTAGTTAATTTCACCATTTCCTGTAAGCAGTAAATGCTATTTAATATTAATACCTTTATGATTTAAAAAAATGTTTAATTCACCAACATTCGACTCAGTGATTTTTGGTATATAACTTTTATAATGGAAAAGGAAAAAAAGTTTATTAGTCTTAAAAAGTTTACTTTTATAGAAGGTAATTGAGGGAGAAAGTTGTATAAGGAAAAGTGGAATTAAAAGTCAGTTAGTAATGAAAGACCTATACCCTGAAAACTACAAGACACTCTTAAGAGAAATTAAAGGGGACACTAACAAATGAAAACTCATCCCATGCTCTTGGCTAGGAAGAATTAATATAATCAAAATGGCCATCCTGTCCAAAGCAATATACAGATTTGATACAATCCCTATCAAATTTCCAGCAACATTCTTCAATGAACTGGAACAAATAGTTCAAAAATTCATATGGAAACACCAAAGACCCAGAAGAGCCAAAGCAATCCTGAGAAAGAAGAATAAAGTCGGGGGGATCTCACTCCCCAACCTCAAGCTCTACTACAAAGCCATAGTAATCAACACAATTTGGTACTGGCACAAGAACAGAGCCACAGACCAGTGGAACAGATTAGAGACTCCAGACATTAACCCAAACATATATGGTCAATTAATATACAATAAAGGAGCCATGGACATACAATGGGGAAATGACAGTCTTTTCAACAGATGGTGCTGGCAAAGCTGGACAGCTACATGTAAGAGAATGAAACTGGACCATTGTCTAACCCCATACACAAAAGTAAATTCGAAATGGATCAAAGACCTGAATATAAGTCATGAAACCATAAAACTCTTAGAAAAAAACATAGGCAAAATTCTCTTAGACATAAACATGAGTGACCTTTTCTTGAACATATCTCCCCAGGCAAGAAAAACAAAAGCAAAAATGAACAAGTGGGACTATATTAAGCTGAAAAGCTTCTGTACAGCAAAAGATACCATCAATAGAACAAAAAGGTACCCTACAGTATGGGAGAATATATTCATAAATGACAGATCTGATTAAGGCTTGACATCCAAAATATATAAAGAGCTCACTCACCTCAACAAACAAAAAACAAATAATCCAATTAAAAAATGGGCAGAGGAACTGAACACAGTTCTCCAAAAAAGAAATTCAGATGGCCAACAGACACATGAAAAGATGCTCCACATCGCTAGTTATCAGAGAAATGCAAATAAAAAACACAACGAGATATCATCTCACACCAGTAAGGGTGGCTACCATCCAAAAGACAAACAACAACAAATGTTGGCGAGGTTGTGGAGAAAGGGGAACCCTCCTACAGTGCTGGTGGGAATGTAAATTAGTTTAACCATTGTGGAAAGCAGTATGGAGGTTCCTCAAAATGCTCAAAATAGACTTACCACTTGACCCAGGAATTCCACTCCTAGGAATTTTCCCTAAGAATGCAGCAGCCCAGTTTGAAAAAGACAGATGCACCCCTATGTTTATCACAGCACTATTTACAATAGCCAAGAAATGGAAGCAACCTAAGTGTCCATCAGTAGATGAATGGATAAAGAAGATGTGGTACATATACACAATGGAATATTATTCAGCCATACGAAGAAAAGAAATCCTACCATTTGCAACAACATGGATGGAGCTAGAGGGTATTATGCTCAGTGAAATAAGCCAAGTGGAGAAAGACAAATACCAAATGATTTCACTCATCTGTGGAGTATAAGAACAAGGGAAAAACTGAAGGAAGGAAACAGCAGAAAAAAAGAAAAAAAAAAAGTCAGTTAGTAAGTAATATACACAAACTAGAAGAAAAAAATAAGAGGATAAAAAAGCACGGTGGTACAGAAAGTTCGGGAATTAGACACAACAGACTGAATACACGGTTTTATCTGTGCTCTCCCCTTACTTCCACCAAACGCATAAAACAAAGCAAACAAGAAAAAAAGATGATAACACTCAATTTGAAAAAAGACCAATAAAATTTTGCCAAGTTAGAATGCCGATGACCTTAGCAGACCTTGGAAAGCTAAAACAGAGAAGCCTGCAGTAAGAAAGCTAACTTGTAAAACTCCTCTCAGAATTGAGAAGCAACAGATCTCAAGGCAGGAGTGAAGGGTGGAGTTGAAAGTAGGAGGACAGAAAAAGACATTGTTAAAGACACTGACACCACCCTGATCCCCTTTTCCTACCCTGTGTAGGCAGCTTGCTTGGATGTTTAGTTTGTAGCACAAGACAAGATGAGATGTTGTAGGGATTCAGTTAAAAATTCCATACTTAATGGTGGATGCTACCAACCCCTGGCTCAGGTCGACCACTAACACTGGCAGCCAGGCTTAGAAGACTGAAGATTAGTCTCTGGGAAAAAATACTCCTAGACTTTGAAGGCTTCTGGTGAAAGAATCAACCCCATCAATCATTGTAAGGTGAGGATTAAAAGTTAACAAGCCCTATTAGCAAGATCCTAAAAACATGCTTCATTCTTAAATATTAACAGAGGGCAAGGATCACTAGACACTTAAGGAAAGCCTTTACTATCAAGAGATGAAAACAAGAGAGAAAAGGTATAAAAAGAAGATTAATCCAGAAGGCCCAATAGTCAAATGACTGAATGAACTGAGGGAAGAGAAAAAATGGAGTGGAAAAATTACCAAAGAAGTGATATAAACCCCCCCTCACCCAGAAATCAGGGACATGTTTCTAAATTGTAAAGATACTCAGCACAATGAAGGGGGAAGAGAAAAAGATCATTTGAATGTGGTTACAATGACCATTCTCAAAAAGAAAATAAATAAAATATCCCCATGCTCTCTTTTTCTCAGGATATTCCTGGAATGTGTTCCATTAAAATAAAGCATGAACCAAGAAGGTCTTAGCTGAATCCAGGAAGCAAGGAACCCACTACTGAAAGACACATAAAGGAAATCTCATAATGATGGTGATGGTAAGTCCCAAGGCTTAGTTGTGTTATAAGAGTAAAAGCAACTAGTACATATGGAAACAGGAGAACAAAAGCTCCAGGAATATGTGTCTAAAAAATGAGGAGCCAACAGATTATCTGATATGCTTTACTGTATCAGAGTTTTATAGCTCTAGTGAACACTTTTATAGATGAATTGATAAATATATAAAACTAAGTACAACACTACCCTCAGGCATACATTAAAGCTGAGGGGAAGAGAAGGGTGGTAAAAAAAAGAGGAAATGTAGTGTGTTATACTATTTATCGCTCAGCTCTAAGAACGATTTGCACAACCATAAAGCAAACACTGAAAATTGATTTGGTAACTTTATATATGTATAAATAAATCACTGGTAGCATATGATGATGGGAAAAAATGTGCCTATGTGTAGGGTGGTTGAAGTAAAAGAGTCAAAGAGTTATTACTGTTCATAGTTAGAAGTCTATAAAGATTGTGTCTAAAATAGTGAAAAATTATACCATAAGCGTATTGTTTAGATATGTACAGGTAAATATCTAACAGCTAATAGAATTGAAAATAGTTGGCTCTGGGAAATGGGAATTGAGATAGGGAGGAGTAGAGGAGGGACTACTGCCATTTTTTTCTTCGTATGACTTACATCACTGTTTGACTTTTAGAATTATGTAAGTATATTTTGATACATCATAAAAATGAAAGAATAGAGAGTATGTATGGAAACAATTTTACTAATGTATGAAAGCCATGGGGAATGATTTTTTTTTTCATGGAGATTCCATTTTGAAACCCTTTTCATGTTAAACATTAAGAGAGTAAAAAATATTCATAACATCCAGGACCTTGCAAGGAAAGTGTAACAAACAACTACAGACCTGAAAAATTTCAACAGAGAAACATTATTTTTCCAGACAGCAGTAGCATAGCACAGATTATGGCTAAAATAAAATGTATAGTTAAGTTACCTTGGAGGTTGAATTTTGAATTTTTCAAAGACTTCTGGATAAAGTAATGGAAACACCACCATCTCTTTTAGAGCTGCAATATGATTAGACAGGCCACCAATACTATCAAATCGTACCTGATAATGGAAGGGCAACATGGACATGCTTAGATTTGGAGTCAAAATTAAAATGTTACTCAAGTCCCACATTACACCCAACCAACACAAGTCAACAGTATCTTAGTTGTTGCCTGAAGATTTTAAAGAAAAAAAGTCTATAAAGATTAAAGTTCCTAATTAGAAAAATTGGAGTCTCTCTTTAACATTAAAACATAGCTAAAACAACGAACAATATTATAGTCCAAGTATACATTTTAAGACAGTACTCACTGAAGAATCTAGCTGCATTGGATCAACATCAGCAAGGCTCACTCCAATTTTCATTCTGTCTTTATAAATTCCTTTTAATTCATCTTTCCGAAAATTTAGTGGGAGGCATCTGTTTCTAAAAGATTAAAAAAATAAAACACCCATCACCTCACCTGCCTCCCCCAAGTTCCATGTTAGAATATGGACATTCTTCTTAAGAACTAAAAAAAAAAAACCTTGAGATTATGTATATCAATTTCCTCACTTTCTTTATAGGTCGAGACATTAAGTGTTAGAAATATTATATCTGAAGCTTTATTAGTAGAGGTAGATAATCAAAGCACTTCATGGTTGAGAATTCAGGCAGTTATTAATATATATTATAATGATTATATCCAACATATCCGGAGTGTTCACGATTTGTCAGACAGTGGTTTTCTTTCAGGTGTTTTACACATGTTACTTCATTAAATACTCTGAAGTCTTATGCAGTAGGTATTATTTCCCCTATTGTAAAAGAATGCAGGTACAAAAAGCCTAACTAAAATGTCCAAGGTCACACAACTAGTAAGAGACAGATCCAAGAATCAAACCCAAGTGTTTATACCCAATGTGCACCCAAGACCTGCAACAGCTCTGTTACAATACCCCTCAGCAAAATACTCACAGTCCACCAGTATTTGTATCTACATCAATCGTCTCAAGCAAGAATGAATCACTACTTACCTAACAAGTTACAAAAACAGTTATGGTAGGTTACAAAAAAAATACCTAGAAGAACCTGCTTGTTTTACAGATGGAAGAATGAAAACTAATTATTAGATATTAAGACACTTGCACCAGAATGCCTAAGCAAATAACTGTGGCAACTGAACACAAGCCCATAATGCTCACTCCCAGCAACAATTTTGGCTGCCTCCAAACTCTATGAGAAATTTACACTGTGAAATCTAAGATAAATAAGTTTTCATCTGTGGCCTTATAAAAGCTATTTCTTAAATAATTCTTAATAGAAATATAACTGTATAATAAAATCCATGGGATTTAGATGCACATTTCTATGAATGAACATGAAATATCCAAGTAGTCTAAGCATACAGCTTTTGGAAGATCTAAATTATTGCTGTCCAAAAGAAATAAAATGCAAGTCAAAAATGTAATTTTAGCGGAGCCAGGATGGCAGCGTGAGTAGAGCAGTAGAAGTCTCCTCCCCAAAACACATAGATATATGAAAATATAACAAACAAAACTCTTCCTAAAATAGAGACAAGAGGACACAGGACAACATCCAGACCACATCCACACCTGCAAGAACCCAGTACCTTGCGAAGGGGGAGAGGAAGGCCACAAACCAACAAGAAGGGAAGCTCTCCCAGCAGTCACTCATACCAGCTCTGCAGACTATCTCTATCACCATGAAAAGGCAAAACTACAGGCAGACAAAGATCACAGAGACAACACCTGAGAAGGAGACAGACCTAACCAGTCCTCCTGAAAAAGAATTCAAAATAAAAAT